TAGCTCTATATACATTTAAAAATATAATCCATTCTCAATAAATTCAAAGAGAGATCCTTTTCTTATATTTAAATATGCCTGGGGTTTCTTTCAAAGTCATTACTGTGAGACAGTGATTTACTTGTTCTTTAGACCTTTCCAGTGATACTTTGCCCAACCTGGCTTCCACTTTAAGACCTACCTGCATCATAAATGTGCCCTAAAACTGACCTCTGCAAGAATTATAGCCATTCATTTGTTCAGTTGTTCACCCACGCTGGTATATTGAACAACTGTTAACGTGCCAGGTCCTGGAGAGTTCTAGGCACCCAGCAGTGAACAGGTCCAAACTGGACAGGTGGATTGGATGCCTGGAAACCACCTGAAGTTCTTATCATTAAACTTACCATTAAAAAGATAACAGTGCAACTTTCACTACAAACTGATAACAGCATAAAGAGTTCACCTCCTAGAGCTTTTACATTTTAACAGGGATCAAAGCTTTGCTTCGAACTGCTTCTAATCAGGCAGCTTGTAAGGGGAATTGTGGTTTGAACTCTGGGACTTTTCCAGCTTATTTGGCTTTTTTGAGCAGCAGGGTTAAAGGTGGGGACTGGCTCTGATAATATTCCTCCCAGAAAAGTAGCTTAAAGAAAGCCCTACTGCGCAGGGAAAATCAGTTAGATATCCCATAATGGAACAGAGCTCTTGTTATAATTTTGCCTTTTGGGGGTGCCAGAGAGCCGAACACAGAGAAGGGAGGAGTATAGCATAGGGCAGGTGCACAGGGTGCCCTGCTGTTGGTAGCCGGGCAAGTCACTTACCCTCTGGATGCAGCTATAAATAGGGCTAATAACGACAATAGTACCCACCTCAAAGAATTGTTGAGGGTCAAATAAGTTAATATATACAGAGCATTTAGAATTGTGCTTGCCATAGAGTGTAAGCATTATATTAAAGTTAGCCATTATTTCTTTTAGCTATGTGTTTTGGCAGTTTGTTGATTTTCTGAGAACATATAAGAGATACACAGTAAGAGTGGATAAGAAGATAGTTCAAGTGAGGATGGTTAATTCCTTCTTTCCCTGCCTCCTACTCCACAGACCCTAGAGTTACTTGTTTTGTGAGGTAGTAACATCATATTTGAATGTATGACCTTGAAAAATTATGATTAAGTAGTTCTGGGCAAAGCTCTAGTGGTTGGAAAATAAATCAGGCCTCCCACACATACCTGCCCAGCCAAGAATTTGTTTGCCCCAGGAACCGTGGGTGGGCGGGAATGGAAGCAAGCACATACCCGGGCTTATGTGAACTCCCTGTTCTGGTCTGAGACCGTGGTGTCACCCTTCTTCCTCCGCTCACCAGTGCTTTCTGGTCATTTCTCTTCATTCTCAATTCTAGAGAAACAAATATTTTAATTTTTTTAAAAATGCTTTTCTCTCTCTCCTTTCCCCGACTCCAGGGAACTTCCACCCCGCCCCCTTCCTGCTTGTTTGTTCGCTAAAGTTTGGGTCTTTATTTGTCCCTTGTTATTGCACTTGTGCAACTTTCTCCCAAGCCCAGGAAGGCAACATGCAGCGTAAGATGAAGAACCGTAGGGCTCCCTGCATGGATCCCGAGTTTCAGGGTCTGGGGCAAGGCCCTCTAGAAATGTCCTGGAATTTTCTGTTAGTTCTTGTAGCCAGGGATAGAGGCCCCCTGCCTTTGCACTGGGGCATATCCCAGGTACTCCTGCAGGCTCTCTCTTGTCTGTGTCCTGGGGAGACTGGTGAGGGGTTTTTCCGCACAGCACTGCAGAGAGGGGCTTGTTTTGCTGTTCCTGTGAAGTGCGCCACATCGGGACATGTGGTCTGCGAGGCCTTCAGTTATTCCTGGCTTGGTTCGTGTTTTTATTGTTAGCCTGTTTAGCCTTCAGTCCTATTGTCCTAGTTAAGTCCTGTCATTAGAGCAGGTGTGTTCTTTTTCTGAGTGTGAGAGGGGGCCTGTTTCGGGGCCTACCCTGGAGGAGGCATCCCGGGAGAGGGTTTCAAGAGGCCTCTCAGGCCTTGGGAAATCTCCTTGGTGGGAGCTAAGCTTAGAAAGTTACTTAACCTTTCTGAGCCTACATACTCACACCTCCCGCCCATTTAAATCTACCCATGGGTTGTTCTGAAGGTGAACATGGGGACTTCTCTGGTGGTCCAGTGGAAAAGAATCTGCCTTCCAATGCAGGGGACTCGGGTTCGATCCCTGGTCAGAGAACTAAGATCCCACATGCTGCAGGGCAACTAAGCCTGCGTGCCACAACTACTGAGCCTGCGCGCCTCAACTAGAGAGCCCACGTGCCACAAACTACAGAGCCCACACACCCTCAAGCCTGCACGCCACAACTAGAGAGAAGCCTGGGCGCCGCAACCAAAGATCCCTCATACTGCAGCTAAGACCTTGACACAGCCATACATACATACACACATACATACATAAACAAACAAACAAACTTTTAATAGATAAATAAAAGGTGAATGTGAAACTGTGTGGGATGTAGCCAGCTCTCAGTAACGGCTCCTTTCCCTCCATTTCCTTGTTGGACTATGGAACCCAGGTTTATTGTGGGGATAGTAGGTATTGGGCAGATTCTTCCTAATGACCTGGCCAGGTGTCAGGATGGGAGACTGATATTTGGGGGGCCTTTGCCCTTCAGTCAGGGTCCAGGTGGGTCTTCCTGAAAGAAGCATCCTTCTCCCTCATGGCCGGCTGAGGAATTGGAGCAGGGGGCGGGCCGCAAAAATCCACTTTGAATTTTGCCACTTTATTTCCCCACTAGTTTGCTCAGATATAAGGAGGAACTGGCAAAATTAAAAATAAAAAAGGTTTTGTTTTGAAAATTCTACTCTATTGACAAACAGCCTCAGATCAAGAGTAACCACCAGACACCCTGTTCCTCAGCATGTTTGCTGGTCGCTCCTGGGGCAGCCGCCCTGCTCGGGTGTTGCTGTGCTCAGGGCTCTGCACGGGCATTTTTCACCTTGAAACATATCCGTGTCCTCTGTCACTCAGCCCAGGCCACCTCTTACTGCCACTGTAAAACCTGTAGGCTGAAAAGAAATCAATATGATCAAAGCTGCATCTATCTGGCCAGTCTGTTGCACCATCCTGCCCTTTTCCGTTTTACAAATCTAGCATTGTTTCTGGTAAAAAGATACGCTAATATAAGTTTATCCATAGTATGACTTGATGTTAGGCCAGAAGACTTCTGCTGTCCTCTGAAATACATACATATCTCAAAGCTATATTTTTTAGTCTCATGAAGTGCAATAAAGACTTCGTTCACTCCTAGAGACTTCCCTGGTGGTGCAGTGGTTGAGAATCCACCTGCCAATGCAGGGGACACGGATTCGATCCCTGGTCCGGGAAGATCCCACATGCCACGGAGCAGCTAAGCCCGTGCACCACAACTACTGAGCCTGTGCTCTAGAGCCCGTAAGCCACAACTACTGAGCCCATGGCGCCGCAACTACTGAAGCCCGTGTGCCTAGAGCCTGTGCTCCGCAACAAAAGCCACCGCAATGAGATGCCCGCGCACCGCAACGAAAAGTAGCCCACGTTCGCCGCAACTAGAGAAAGCCTGCGCACTGCAGTGAAGACCTGACGCAGCCATAAATAAATAAATAAATAAATAAAAGACTTCATTCACTCCTAGACTAACGTTCTCATGGAGACAGTTTACCGTGCCTCCCTCTGTAAAAAGGAAACAGGGCAGCAGTTCATATACAGATACCCCGCCACCCACTGCGAGGAGGTCAGCATCCTCCTCAGCCTTGCCCGTAGCCGCGGGAATTGGCCAGGTGGGCGCCCACAGAGCCCAGACCCGTTCTGTTGCCACCCAGGGCAGCGGCACGGGAAAGAAGGTGGGACTTAAGGAAGCGGGCTGTGCGGAAGGCAAGGGTGGCAATGTGCTCATAGTCGTCTGTCAGGGGAAGACGTTGGGGCTGATGCAGAGCCAGGCTCTGGCAGACAGTTTTCTGGTCTCAGGTGTGGGTTCACCTGTCGTCATCTGTTCTTTGGGAAGGGTGCTGGTGCGGTTTATAGAAATCCTCCCAAAGAGTAATTATGGTCATTAGCAATGGTTCTGTAGTTCCCAGATGTATTCACCTGCCTGTCACTGCCCCGTCACTCCCCCGAGGCCATCAGAATGGCCCTTCACATGCTCGTCATGTTTTGAGAATTGCCACTGGTGGTGTACAGAGCAGATTAATTGGGTGTAGATGCTTAGGAAAACAAGAGCTGATGGTAAAGCCTTGCATGAATTAGGAAAAGTTTGAAGACAGAGCTCTGTTTCTGGTATGCAGAGTTTCAGCATAAAGGCTTACAAAGTATTGCTGGGGTCTTTTGGCAGTAGTGGCCCTGTACTTGCTTTAGTGATATACTTATTCCAAACTTGAGGAAAATGCCATGGACGCATTTTCTGCAGGCTTCCCGGTAACTATGGAAGATTTTTAAAAAATATTTTTTAAACTTTTGGGAAAATTATTTGTATTATTAAATAGCATAGTAAATATGTGTATTTAGATACATAAATAAAAGCAAAATATTGGGACTGTTTCTAAACAGCTATTAACAATAATTAGATCAAAACATACCTAAAATGATAAACCTTAAAGCCACAGTAATTCATGTCTTTCTATGTAGAAAATGTTCATTCAAATTAACTTCTCTCCCAATGTCAGAATTCCTTCTGCAATGTGCATAAGATGTGATAATTTTTTTTTTTTTTTGCGGTACGCGGGCCTCTTACTGTCGTGGCCTCTCCCGTTGCGGAGCACAGGCTCCGGACGCGCAGGCTCAGTGGCCATGGCTCACGGGCCCAGCCGCTCCGCGGCACGTGGGATCCTCCCTGACCGGGGCACGAACCCGTGTCCCCTGCATCGGCAGGCGGACTCTCAACCACTGCGCCACCAGGGAAGCCCAAAGATGTGAAAATTTAGGCATCATCTTCTTTCTCTTCACTTCCCTCCTCTCCTCTTCCTTCCTTCACCTTCCAGCTGATGCGTGCTGTGTCCAGGTCACTATGGCAGGCACTGCAGATACACAGGTAAGTACTCATGACCCCTCCCTCAGAGGCCTCCCAGTCTAAAAGTATGTACAGCTGGATGAGGATGTGCAGGAAGGAGGCGTGTGAGGGTACCTGGGTGAGGGGCCCGCTCTCAGCCTGTTTGGAGGAAGAGAGACAGCATACGATTCACAGAGGTTATGTGGAAGCTGAGATTTCAAGCCTGAAGGGGTGGCCTAGAAATGAAAAAGCATCCCAGGCATGGTACTTGTGTGAGAGTCGTGAAACCACGTTTGGGGAATGGCATGCAGCCTGGCATAGCTGTGGTGCTTGATGCTGGGGAGGAGCAGGGTAGCAGGATGAGGCTGTCTCAGCAGTGATGGGAGCTCACCACTTTGCAAAAGAAAAAAGAAAGAAAAATTGTTCTCTGGCTGAGAACTGTATTTTGTTAGAAAGTGTTTCCTTGTATTGTGCCAAGTCTGTCTCCTTTTCTGTTTTACCTTTGAGTTCAAGCCGCAGGAGCAGCCCAGAATGAGCCTGCCTCCTCTTTGCCACCTGCCTTTATGTGTAAGTGGTGTTTTGCTTCTTTAAGTCTTGCCCCAGGCTGTGTATACCTGTGTCCTTCTTAATAGGTTTTGGTTAGTAGTTTGTTTGCTTAATATAACCCAATGATAATTCCAGCTGGTCCTTTTAGAATCTACAATTGATTGTGATTGCCTAGATTGATCTCACAGATCTCCAAAGCAGCTCTTGCTGCTGTACTCTCTCGTCTGTCGGCCTGTTTCTGCCAGGTTCCTCCCTCTGTGGTTTCACAGGATCCCAGAGGGCAGGAAGCAATCAGAGGTGTTAGTCCAGCGTCTCCTCCGCTTCTTCCCCGCCATAGCATTTCCTTTTGGTCATCTTATGGCTTTAGAGAAACAAAAAGTAGGCCTTTCTCACACATATGCCGGGGATCCTTGTCCTGGAGGAACAGTATTTTTCTTTACAATCTTATAACTATTATCTTTTACTTTAGAAGCAAACTAAGAAAGAAGTACGTACCTGTGAAATGTTAATAAAAATTAATTAGGATTGAACTAAAATAGCTTAGAAGTTAAGGGTTGAGAGAGGCATGTTAAAGCTCAGGTTACATTTTCACATGAATTATCTGTAATTTGAAAATATCAGTTATGTTCTGAATGAGAGGTTTGGCCATGTGTGTAATATGAGACCCCTCTGTCTGAAAGTGCAGGGTTTGGGTGGGTCCTAGAGAGAGATTCTCAAAGCCTATTTGTTGATGGCAGCCGGTAATGTCGGCACCTGTAAGCAATCATTAGACGACCACTCTTAACCCCTTGATAAAAATTCTGCACTTTCCAAGCCAGTGCCATGGTTGTCTACGGATTATCCTCTTTACAAAAAAAGGACGAGATGGAAAAGGTTCAGTAATTTTGGTTCTTTCACACCCTCACCCAGTGCTGAAGCCAGGAGCTTACCCTATAGCTGTGATCCTCTGTGCGAACCATTCTTCCATGTGGGGAAAGGATGAGTGAAGAAAAGGGAGAATAAAAAGAAAACCATATGTGGTTGCTCAAGTAGAAGTTTCAGATCTCATCAGTTAGCTAAGGATGCCCCAGAAGAGACTGTTTGCTTATTGCTGGGATTTAAGTATCCTACACCGTGGAGGGCAAATTCTTATTTTCAATGTAAGAGTAAGAAAACAGTTAGTCTTCAGTGCAGTAGTTTCAGTCTCCGTCAGTGGTACTTATCGAGGGACTAGTAGGGAGAGGGGAAGGAGGGAGGATAATAAATATTCTACCACTGTGTACTCAAATGGTGGTCCATAGACCGGTGGCAGCAGCATCACCAGAGAGCCTACTAGAAATGCAGAGTCTCAAGCCCCAACCCAGCGCTTCTGAATCAGAATCTGCATTTTAACAGACCCCCTGGCAATTCCTGTGCACACTGAAGTTTGAGAAGGACTGCTCTAGTGGGTGATGACAATACCTGATTCACCATGAGCGATTTACCTGTCTTAGCACACTTTGAGAAAAGCTGAACAAATAAGGCATATCCGCCCAAAGTATTAAATGTTGAGAATCAGAGTTTAATTTTGTTTGTCACGGTTGACTAAACAGCAAATCCTGTTCAGGGGAGGACGGGGTTCTGTGTACTGCACAGATGACGTGCCCCATGGCTTGGATAGCAAGTGAAGAGCTGCTTCCCTGCCCTAGAGTGGAATTGTTTCCATGACGACAGTTATGAGCTGTGATCTCCCCCTACCTCCCCCCCACCCCATTAACCAACAGAGCAGAGAATAAAAAGAATACTTAAAATTTTTTTTTAGAATTCGTCGTGTCCATTTTTTACATCATGTTATCATCATGGGTTTCTCAGGGGAAAAGTCTGTGCAGAAAAGCGTAGCTTCCTCAGTGATGTGCAAACACTCCTTCTGGGCTAAGCTCAAACTGGCACAGCTGACAAATGTCAGCGTTGGACCATGTTGGCCTAAGCCTGATTTTTAAGAAGAATACTTGTGTTTGGTGTTTATCCTGCTGTACATCAACAGATCTTCAAGTGGAAAATCTTCACGTTAAATAGTCATTAACTCCCATGGCCACATGTATTCAATGATCTTTCTCTTCACTTAGAGGAGCCTTTTATTTTCAGAGTAAACGAAAAATGCTAATACATAGTGGTGACCAGTGTCACAAGTACTTGAATATTCAATTCTTTTGTAACGTGATGTGACAGTGTTTTTGCCTGTTCGGTCTTTTCCACTGTCTGTGATGATCATATATTACTTCTTCATAGCTAAAAATCCACTAAGTTTTCTTTTATAAAAGTAATAATTGAAACCAAAAAAAACCCTTTAGTGATAAAAAGATTGACTGCTAAAATCAACCATTAAATGAGTTAGAGCTAATCCTAGGGTATTTTCTTAAAGTTTCATGAAGAATCTGTCAGCTTTTTAGCAGCACTGCTGTGCGTCACTGCTGCACTCCAGTCCAAGCCCCTGTAATTTCTTGCCTAGGCTGTTTCAGAAGCTTAATAACTGGTCTTGCTGCTCCCTCCCTTGCTTCAGTCTGTTCTCAACACAGTAGCCAGATCATGTTTGCCTCTGCCCCAAACACCTCTATTGCATTGCAGGGCCCTCAAAATAAAAGCCAAAGGCCTTTGGGTACCCTAACAAGGTCACTGTTTACCTCTCTGGCCCCACATCCTACTACTGTCTCCCATGCATGCCGCAGGTCAGACAGGCCACACTTCTGTCTCAGGGCCTTTGCACTTGCTGATCCTGTGTCTGGAACTGTCTTTCCCAAGATGTCTACATGACTCTTTTCCAAAAGAGTCATGGTCTTTGTTCATATGTCAGTTTCTCAGTGAGGCGTTCCTTGACCATCCTATTTAAAATTTAACACCCCCCCCAACATATTTTACATTTTACAAGCATACCTCATTTGATTGTGCTTTGCTTTATTGCATTTTGCTTTATTGTGCTTTGCAAATGTTGTCTTTTTACAAATTGAATGTTTCTGGCAACTCTGTGTGAAATGATGGTTAGCATTTTATTGCAATAAAGAATTTTTAAAGTATGTATGTTGTTTTTTTTTAGACATAATGCTATTGCACACTTAATAGACTACAGTATAGTGTAAGCATAACTTCTGTATTCACTGGGAAACCAAAAAATGTGTGTGACTTGCTTTATTGAGGTCTGGAACCAGACCTGCAATGTCTCCAAGGTATACCTGTACTTAACATATGTTCACTGTTTGTCTCCTCCTAGAACGTTACCTCCTTGAGAAGCAGGGGTTTTGTCTTGTTCATTATATGTCCACAGCACCTAGAACCATGCCTGGCTTATTCAGGTGCATGCTGTTTGTTGAATGATGAGTGAGTGAAGTTGGCCCTTTCTAGCCCCCGATGACTAGATGTGAATGTAGAGTCAAGGGCATTGTGGAACTTCTTCCTATCAGTTTTGTTCTCATTCTCATTACATAAGAGGACTGCAATGTTAGAACATCTTTAAAGTGTAAACCACAGCTGTGAGCCGTTTAAAACATTCTGTGCAGCGAGTTAGGAAATGTCGATTAGTTGTTGATTTGTAAGGCAAATAGGAGAATGACACAGTCAGTACACACCAGGTCTCCTGTGTGCCAAGTGTGCAGAGTCAGGCCCCAGGGACAGGAGGAGGCGCAGTGTATGGAGCCTCCTTCAGAGAGCTGCACACGTTGTTGCTGTCGGCCCCGTAGTCATCCCACAGCAAACTCAAAGCCTTTCATGCCCCCCTCCGAGGACCACTGCTTTGGGTGCTTGTGCACATGCGTGCATGTATATTTATGTGTTTTCCAGTGTTGTCTCAGCAAGGGTTTCCTTTGGCCGCAATTTATGTTTTCCTTTTTGTTGATGGTGTTTCTTAGTAGCCCACTGCTACAAGTCCTGTCTGCAGAGGCGCTACTCAAATGTATCTTGAACTTTGTGCCGTTTCTCTTTTAGTATCTTAAGATTTATTTTGGCTATGGAGGCCTAGGAAACAGTAAAGTTACGGAAGTGAGTTAGACAGAGCCCATCTAATTATTGACCCCCCCAGGGGCAGGACACATCAGGGAGGATGGAGCCCATTCAGGAAAGCCATATGGTCTGCCTGGCAAAATGATCCCTGTTTTGGCGATGGATGCAGCAGGTTCTAACGGTCCAAAGCCATCATTCATTCATGAAAATATCTCTTGAGTGTCCACTGTTGTGGAATGTGCTAATAAAATGAGCACAGTATTCACCTTTATGGAGCATCTTACAGTCTAGTGAGAGAAATAAACGTAAATTAAATAATCACATAAATGTGTAATTATAAACGGTAGTAAGTGCTACAACGGAGAAGATCAAGGTGCTGTGGGAGCTTAAGATAAGGGAATGTCCTAGTCTGGGGTCGTGTGACATGAGCTAGGAGTTGCAGATGACTAGGCACGTATGTGCTTTGTGGGGAAGGTGCAGAGTATGTGCATTAGTTTCTAGCCAGAGGAAACGAGGTGTGCAAAATCTCTGAAGTGTTGAGGGATCTGTGCATTTAAGAGAGTAAAAGGAGACCAGTGTGGCTGAAATGTGAGGGTGACAGGAAGAGTGTGCACGGAGGAGGCTGGAGGGGTGAGCTGGGCCAGACCGAGGCTTGAGAGTCAGCTCTCGGGTATTTATCATCAGACCCATGCAGAGCATTAAAGGAGTCGAAGTAGGGCTGAGCCATGACCTGTTTCCTATTTTTAAATGTTTACTCTGGACACTTTGTGGATGATAGATTGGAAGGGAGGAAGCGGAAGCTGGGAGAATAGCAAGGAGTGTTTCGTGTTTGTCCAGGAAAAGGATGATAGCAGCTTGGACTAGGATGGTGGTAGTGGAGGAGATAGGAGAACACTTGTCTGGAGAGAGAATATTGGAGGCCACTGGCATCTGGACTGTGATTGCTCTGACATGCTCACCCAACAATCTGCTGTTAATTTGGCTTGATCTGCCTGTATGGTTACCCACACCTGGGATTTCAGGAAGTATTTATTGGCCAAAGAAATGTGAGTATGTTGGTCAGGCTGGATGGAGCAAGTGTCCAGGCTGTCTGATGACATATTTTTCATGGGAAATGAATCCATAGGCTTTGTGGCTTATCTGTCAATCTTTTATGAGCTTTGTTAACATGAATCAGTATTGATAAACATGATCATTTTTGGCACCTTAGTGAGATAGGCTTTTGGAGCCAACAGAGGGAGGGACAGAACCTGGACAGTTGTGAGTTCCCCGAGGTAAATGTCACCTGGTGGAGACTCTCTGAACTGCTACCTTTCCTAAGCAACACCCTCTTTTTTGATGGATGCTTTTCCATTATCATTTTTAAAATTTTTAAGTAAATCTGTAATATCAATAGCTATATTCACCAATTGTTTCTATCTTTAGAACAGAAATTATTTCACCCAGTGGGGAAGGGTGCTGCCACCTAAAAAAGAATTTCAGAGGGAACGTAGTTTGGAAAGGCATATTAAATGTAGAATGATTCAGAGTCAAGGAGAATCTTACCCTACATTGTTTCCCTATGCATCTATCTTTTTATTATTATGCCATGTTGATTTCTTTTGAAATCATAAAATATTTGTTTTTCAAATCTCCTTTTATCGATACATGTAATGATATTGTCTTAATGGTTTTATTTAGGAACTCAGTAAAGTTAGGCAGTTGAAATAATTCACTAAAGTTTAACGAAGCCCTGTTGGTACTCTCAAGTCTGGAAGATATCAAAGAATGATATAAAACATTATGTGTGCATTTGTGACCACTCACTCACAATATTTTCCTCATCTTTTGCAGGAGAAAATGGAAAAAACGGAGGTACTTTTAATGGAACAGAATAAACCACTGAACAGGTAACTACATTATCAGGGGTTGTGTACACATTAATTAGAGTTAATATTTGTGAAGTCCTTAGAAGGTTACCTGGCACGCAGTAAATAACTACATAAGTGTTTGCTACTATTAAGTTCCTTTAGCTGTACCTGAGCCTAAAATAAACCAGTCATACATCCCAAAACTACCCAACAAAAACAAACCATTTGCCCCTAAAGCAAGTGTGAACATCACATGGTCTCTGTGTGACCTGTTACAGTGGCCTGAGAAACTTAATTTCTTAATCTTTGAGCCCGCTAAGTAGTTGAATACCCATTCACTTTTGGTTTTGAGCACTCAATTCGTGATGACCTTGTGTCAGATCAGTTTGTTTTTTGAAACAAAACAAGCTTCTTTACAGTTCTTGAAGAGCTTATCATTTGTGGAGATGGCTTCGTTTACAGGTAGCCACTGAAATGGCTTGTGGATGGTTAGTAAAGACGGAGAGCATGGCATTAAGAACAGAACTCACATTTTCTGATGATGCCGAGATTACTTGGAGTAAGAAGTTTCAAACTATTGACCCTGCCCAGGCACTGCCTTCACATCACAAAACTGTCGGTGTTATTAAGACCTACTGACACATTCAGCAAACATTGATAAGGGGCCTATTACGTGCCTAGTGCTGTGCTTGGCCTTGAGATTGCAAAGTTGAACATGTCACCTTTCTCCTCACCCACCCCATCTCTCTGGATCTGTACCGGTTCCTGCCTTCTTTACCTCGCTGCAGGGGAGACTGGGGTCTCCTGGCCAGAGTGATGCTCTAGATCCCACCTGCCCTCCCACCTTCAGCTCTTCTGTCTCCCCCGGCTCCACTCCCTCCACTCTTTATTCAGGGTGGGGAGAAAAACTCTGGGAGTGGAGGCCCCGCAGTCTGGTTTGGTAGTGTTAGACGTTTCTCTAGAAGGCTTGCTTTCCCTGGACTTCTGTGTCATAGTTCATTTTAAATATTCCGTGGTTTTGTGTTTTGCCATGCTTCCCCTCTGGCATTTGGGGATATTATTAGCTTTGGAAGTTACTTTTCTATTCAGAAGTGTGACATTATTAACTTGAGGGAGGCGGGCACTAGTGGTGTGCTCAATGTGTCAGTGGTTCTCATACCTTTTTTTTTTTTTTTTTTTTTTTTTTTAATTTTCGGTACGCGGGCCTCTCACTGTTGCAGCCTCTCCCGTTGCGGAGCACAGGCTCCAGACACGCAGGCTCAGCGGCCATGGCTCACGGGCCCAGCCGCTCCGCGGCATGTGGGATCTTCCCGGACCAGGGCACAAACCCGTGTCCCCTGCATCGGCAGGCGGACTCTCAACCACTGCACCACCAGGGAAACCCTCTCATACCTTTTTATTGGAACCCACAGGAAGAAATACGTGTCACATTAGGACCCAGTGCACGCACTTGCACACGTGGATGTATGGTTTCCCGATACATCTTCACTATATGTGAGTGTGATAGAATTTTCTAGTCTATTGTATTCTCTATCACTTTTTCTTTTTCTCTTTTTTCTCTCTTCATTTAAACGTTCCTCATAACCTACCAAATGGGTTTCATAACCTACTAGTCAGTAGTGCTTTGACAGACTTGCTGTATTTTTGTGCTATGGTAGGGGCACCCGCTTTCTTGCCTTTCTGTCCACATTCTGTGGTAAGGTGTGTGTATCTTTTATCCCTAAACACCTCGCCCCACAACTTGCCTTAACTTAGTTCTTTATGTGTGAAACTCTCTCCCTCGTTTGTAATTTAGCTTATGTTTCTGTTTTGTCACATACCATTCACTCCTCAACTTTCTTTGTTTGAACTTTGACATTCCTCTCCTGACCAATAGACAAGAATTACTATTTCAAATGAAATAGATACCTCTGTGCTATTCGATCTTGCATATTAAATATAATTTTTAAAAAGTAACACATGTATTTTTCATTAATTTCAGTGTTTACTAAACTTTCATAGTGTGCAGGAAAGCTTGTATATTGGAATGCATTGAAGTTACCCACTTTAATCACTTAATCTCCTTAAGCATTTTTAGGATTTCTGGCTCAGCATCTAATAAACTGAAATGCGTTCATGCTATATCACTCAGTCAGGGAGCTGATATGCAGTGAGGGAAAAGAATTTCATGGTAAAACTTGATTCCTTACCTTCATGTGTTCTTTCTTAATGGGACTATAAAATGATAGTTTAGTAAAGCACCCAACAAGCCAGGATCTATTCAAAACTTTTGGAAATGATAATTCACTCTTCCAAGATAGTTAAGAACTTCATTTTAAATGTTGTAGGTTTGCGGCTTGATTTGTTAGATGAGAGATACATTTGGTTCTAGTTTTAAGGCTAGTGCTGGAAAAACAAGAAGCTAAAATCTATTGCTTAAATCTGTTTTGAACCCTTATCACAATATCGTGGTGACTTCTGTGCAGTGCTAGCAAAATTCTCACTGATTTCAGAGACAAGTTTATTTATAAAGGAATCATAATTATATACATCTAAGATTACTCAGTATGTACAATAAACTTTAATGGTTATAATGTGCAGAATGGTTCTTTTAACCTAAGATAAACCAGTATTCACCTGTCTTTGGAGATTATTTCTAAGGTTTATAGGCAATAAATGAGACAGAATATCCCAGTTTGCTGAGTTAAAAGATCTCATTTGAGTAGTCATAGAAGTTTCTAAATATTTTGTTATTGAAGCCAAGCCAAAGTTCATTTGGTTCTTTGAGTATGTTCTAATTTCAGTCATGATTAATGAGGCCTTTCCATATAATTATAAATATAGCATATTTGCCAAAATATAGCCAAATTATTATATTGTATTATTTTATATTATTATAATATTACTTAGCCAAGTATTATAGGTGAACACATTCCTATACTTTACAATGATTTTAAATGCCATATAGCACAGTTTGGATTGCTTTGTTTTGCCCTATCTAGGGTTTGAAAGTATTGTGAGAAGACAATAAAGCAGACTTCGACAGCTAGTAGGTATATTTACTAATATTAAGGTATATTTACCAAAATCCTTTGACAAAAATCATTATCTAGGATTTCATTTTGATTTCCCTTTCTTCTTCTTCTTTTTTTTTTACTTTCTAAGGCAATTTTTTTTTTTTTTTATGCGGTACGCGGGCCTCTCACTGTTGTGGCCTCTCACTGTTGTGGAGCGCAGGCTCCGGACGTGCAGGCTCAGCGGCCATGGCTCACGGGCCCAGCCGCTCCGCGGCATGTGGGATCTTCCCAGACCGGGGCACGAACCCGTGTCCCCTGCATCAGCAGGCGGACTCTCAACCACTGCGCCACCAGGGAAGCCCTCTATGGCAATTTTAAATGAATCATAAAGTATTTTTTCCATTAAATAAATAGAGCATGCACAACAATAAAATTTTCTGATGTTTTCTTCTTAGTCTTAATTAATTAAGGTACACTAACTTCTTCCTGGACGACTGTTCCTCAGATATATTCTTCCTTCTTTTACTCACTAATTTCTTTGAAGATTGATTGAATTGGTGCAGTATTCTACAGCCATGTGCATTTATATCATTTGGGCTGGGACACAATTAATGCATCATCTCTGCATGGAAGAGGACCTAGGAAGGTACAGGTGATGCAGTGGTACCTTTCTGGCAGCCATATCGTCTCCAGGCAGTTGAAGGCCGGTCCTAGGAAGATGCCAGAGGGGTTGGACTGGTAGGTGATCCAGAGCCCTCTCTAAATTGAGGAAAAACAAAAGGGAATATACATAGAGCTAATGGAAGATCCTATCTCAGAAGAACTGAGTAAGCAGCTCATATATAAATAAACCATGAGGACAAATCCTTCCAGCCTCTCCCAAGATGGCAGTCAGTGCTCTGTAGTTCCCTCATCACATCCCCATCGCCACCGAGACTGCGTCAACCTCGGTCTTGTGTTTACCGTTAGAGGGGGTTATTTTCATTCCTTTCCATTCTCTGTCCTCTTGCCTTTTGAGACACCTACTACATGTTCTCTTACCTCCCTGATGATTTCTTCCAAGTAACCTTATAAGCGATCCTAAAACTTTGGTGTGAGCCCTGGGTCTTCCCTTTGTCCCGTTCCGTTCCTGACCAGTGAGCTCACAGCATTAGCTCAGCATAGGCAGGGGCAGGTGCTAGAAGGTAGTGAAAGAGAGAGTTCAAATAAATACTTCAAAACTACTTCACTTGAATCCCTACTTTTTGAAAAAAATTAAGAAACCATAAAAGGCCTTTAACTAGGAAAATACTTTTCGTTAAGAATGATTTCTAGGCTGTTTCCTAGCCTGCTCTTGTTTAGTCCTAGTGCACAGTACATGCCTGGAAATCAGTAGAAAAACACCAGAATGTATATTTGTTCGTCCCTTTAACCAGCAGCTTTGAGAGTATACAGAAGCAGGAGTTGATCCTTGCCCCCTGCCTGGCTCCGTTCGTAGGCATTTGTGCTGCTCCTCGCCCTGCCCTGCGCCCCCATTTCAGAAGGTAAACCACGTTACCATCGGACAAGGTTTTACTGGCTTCAGAGAATGGCACAGCTGAAAAGGATATTATTGATGGTTCAAGGGGACAAATTATGGCAGAAATCTGAACAGTATTTGGGAACATAAACTACCGTGAGTTTAATAACCCCCAAACAAGAACAACATGTATTTTTTAAAAAGTATTTATTTCATACTTGTCCAGTTTTTTGGGCCGTTTTCCTTTATTCATTTTCCGTGAGGGGAAACTGAAGTGAAAATGGAAATTATTTTTATCCCCTTTATTAAGGCACCTAGATTGATTGTGAAAAGCATGAGAAGTCACGTCAGGTAGCCAAGCACTTGTTTTAAAAGCATGAATAAAAGAAAAAGAAGACAGTCAACAACAAGATATGACATAGTGTGTTATGGGTTGCTAGTTTTGAACTTCAGTCCTTCATAGCACTAGAACCTAAGTATTTATGTTGTCAAGAAATAAAGTAAGTGTGGACTTCCCTGGCGGTCCAGTGGTTAAGACGCTGTGCTCCCAGTGTAGGGGGCACCGGTTCAGTCCCTGGACGGGGAACTAAGATCCCACATGCCATATGGTGTGGCCAAATAAAAAAATAACAACAAAAATAAAGTAAGTGAGATGCTAGGTTCATTCTAAGTGCTAAAGGCGTGTAGCTGATATTGTTGACACATACAGAGATACTCAGTGGTGCTCTCAGGAATTTCTTTTAGTTGTGTTTCCTGTAGTTCAGGATGGGTTTCTTTTGACCTGTCCTATTTTTTTGTGATAATTTGTATGGCAAAGAAGACAGGTTAATAGCCTTTATTATTTCCTACGTGCTAAGCATTGGGTGATGAGTGTGAGGGGAGATACTGCCACCATCCCAGTTTTACAGAATGTGTTTGATAACAGAAGGTTCTAGTCAGTTCCCAGCAGAGACCATAGTCTCATCAGAACCAAATGGTAGCTGGCTTTAAGTAATGTTGCAGCAATATTTAAAGGCTTAAAAAGCTTCTTTACATTGTTGATTAGCTGTGATAGCCACACAAGGAAAATACTCACTAAAAGAGGGGGTTTTCACAGAGTAAAAAAGTAACTCAGATTTTCCTAAGTTTGTAGCATTACTTTCATATTCTTGAGGTTAAAGATTTTTAAGTAAATATTTGCAATTTACAATCTATTGTTTAGTCCTCAGGGATAGAATAGTGTAATATAAGAAAATTGAAAGTAATATTCCCTTTTTAAATGTATATAATCAACATGTTTCATGTATTTCCTGAATATTTGCTATTTTCAGTTGTACATGATACATCTTGTGATTTCAGTAGGAAATGGACCTTTTAGGCAGACAGATTCTGAAGGATTTCCATATTGGGGGTATGTTATGTCCACATCAATAATTGGAAGAAAATAAATCCAATACCTCTGATTGAAGAGGCAAATAAATATATATGTAAAATCAATTTTCAGTTTACCACCTTAATGGAAGGGAACATTAGCATGGCTAATGAAAAGTTTTCAGCAGCCAACTCAGCCAGCTTTTTCTGTGTAACAAGGAAATAAAGGCTTACTTCTCTTTAAAAAAAAAAAAAAAAGTTTTCTTTTCACAGTAACTTCTTGTTTAGTTTTGCTTTGGGTTCTTTGCTTTCTGGAATGCACAGCAGACAGCAGTGGATTTGGAAGTGGCTCAACATATATTTGTAAAATAGAGGAATATCCCTATAATCTAAAATAAGTTGTAAATATTGTGAAAAGTTTAAATTAATACACAATTAAATTATGGATTTTATTACATTTCCATTGTAGATTCAAATTCATTTGCCTATTCTTAAAACTATAAATGTCCGGGGTAAAACAGGTTAATTAACACTTGAATCTATCTTAACAAGCCCTCCTGTCTCCCATCACCCACTATTCCTATCTTTTTAAAGGTGAAATTAGTATAGAATGAAGATCAAAGATATTTGAAGGGGAGAATAAGTCACAGAATAATTTACATGTAACCATTTGAATTTGGAATAGGAAGGAAGGCTAGAAGTCATTTAACCTTTTCAATTTACAGACAAGGAAACTGAGTTTCTGAGAGCTGATAGGACTGCACAAAGCCACAGAATTATTAAAGGGCAGAACTAATACTGACAGGTAGATAGCACTTCTTCAACCGGGACTTTTAATGATTTTTTTTCAGCTTTATTGAGGTATAATTGACAGATGATATTATAAAATGTTTAAAATGTACAACATCATGATTGATGAACATATACCTTGTGAAAGGATCCCCTTCACTTGAATAATTTTCAGAAATTAATAGTAAACCGCAGTCTTTTTTTGTCTTTGCTTTTTGTTTTTTAACACACTACTTGGAAAGTGTGTGTCTTAGGAAAAGGTAGTGGAAAGCAAAGCCCACTCATACCGTGGGTACTGTTTTTTCCACTCTGCTCGATTGGGGGCAGCCTGGTGGGTACAGATAGGAAAGGAAGAGAGAGGCCTAATCGTCACTTCAATGACAATGAAGGTTTTATGCGATAATTTTTAAACCTGGAACCACCTGCTTTTCTAGAAATAGTTGTTCCCTGAGAAGTTCCATGTCTTTCTCAGCTACTTGTGCCCCTGTCCAACCCAGAAAACACCACCCCCTAATTCCTGCATTCTAGGGAGGTCTCTGGCAGATCCCCTCCTGTTGAGAATATTATTACCTGTATGATTTTTTACCGGTAGAAAGGCAGGTTTAGTGTTGTCAGTTAACTTACTGTGTTAGTGTGCTGAGCTTGCTGAGACTACAGATTTATGTTGGACTTCTTTCCCCCTACCCCGTAAATAATTTTGCTTCCCAATTTAGAAAAGTCGAATTCTTAGAACCAGGTACTACTATCATTTGCATGGGACCAAATGAATGCTCTTGGTTCCAAGTACAGTTAATGAGACGGGGTAAATGGGGCAGGAAAATGAGCATCATCACCAAAAAAAAAAAAAAAAAAAAAAAATCCCCATGTGTAACACCACTAGTCAAAAGTGTCATGTTTGTAGAGTGCAGACCTTACCACTCTTTCATCCAAAAGTGTATCTTTCTTAGAAGCTGACTGACTAGATTGGTATATACTTGACTCATCCTTTTTATTTAAACTACAGCAAATGTACCCTCTGACCCATGTGAAAAGTATTGGTTTTAGACACAATACCTGGTAGAAGTAAACAGTTTAATCCGACCTGGAAAAGAAGTAACCTAAATATACCTAAAACTAACCTAAAAATTGTGATAGTGGTAAATAGTAAAATCATATTTCCAGCTTCTAGTATTATATTGACACTGGCATATACACAGTTATTATTCAGTTAGAAATTTTATTTTGACAGCACTCTACCTCATATGTGTTTTTCAAAAGGGTGTTAAACCACTGCCTTACTTTTGACAGACTCCTTAGAGAATGTCTATGTAGCAAAGTGTGGTAAATCGTTGTCACAGTGCACTGAAGCCTCAGAGTTTGTCTTAGTTATCTGAGTATTTCACTGCATTTTGAAAGAATCCTGAATTATTCTAATAATTTAATCCTCCACATCACAATGTACAGTGCTTCATTATGCATTAATTTTTTTATAACTTCTTTACGTTTGAAAGATAATGATGTTTGTTTTGTCACAAGATGCTTTCATGAGAGGTTTCAAATTGTGTGGCCAGGTGTAGTTGTCAGACAGAGACCTAAATGTTGTTTCGCTTTTGTTCCAGAATTCATTTGCACTGGCTGTTTTAATTCAGATTAAATACGAGGAGGAATAGTACTGCCTTCTCCTGTCAATATGTGGAAGCATATTGTGTTTACTCAGCATTTAAATGGTGCTGTTTTGGGTTCTGAGGTAGCCGAGGAAGGGTAACCATGCTACCAGGAATTATGTTGATTTTTACTTATTTTATTATCCGTTTAGGCCCTACCTATAGGGCTTAGTATATAACCGGAAGATAAGGCTGGGTAGACGGGAGGAAAAGAAATCTTTAGTACATAATCCTTTCATATTTTTCTGAAACACGATGGTTCACTTGCCACAGTGTGTATTACACCTGCAGTTTCTTTGGATCTTATTTGAAAACCAGTGAGGGGAGTAACACAAGTGGGTGCAAAGAAAGAGGTACCCCCACGAGCTCTGTATCACTCAGACTGGCAGTGCTCACTGCAGCTACAGGATTCACTGGTTCGTGGAGATAAGACATGGAAGATGTGTCGGGAATGTTTGGCTAATAGAAAAGTTTAAGTGCCAGCACCTGAGAATGAATTCTTTTTAACTTTTAAATAAATGAGAGTTAGATTCATTACAGAAACGTAGGGACCTACTCATTCGCATTCTTACATGTTTTCTAGGGAAGGAAGAAAGGATGGAGTTTGAACTGATTTGCTGGGAATCATGTTCAGAATGGATCCAGGATATTGAAGTGTAAAAGAGGTGAGCTGCCTGCCTCTGGCCTAGACTGTGGCTTGTACTTTAATGGCAGGAGAAATGAGGACAGACAGCAAAGCCTGGGCAGTAGTGTTAGCGGCATAAGTTTGCCCCTGGGCTCCCGTTTCCCCAGTGCCACAGTCGGACTCTCAATTATGGATGATTGTGCTCTTAACTGTTAGGGATTCTGTACATTAAGAGTGAGGAGTCTGGCTCCAGACTTCTTGGGCTCAGATACTGGCTTCGCCTCTTAGGCAACTGACTTAATTTCTCAGATTTTTCATTTGTAAAAACAAACACAGCACAGGGATAATATCAGCCTTTACCTTTCTGGGGTTGTGAAGAGGGTCAGGTGAGCTAATGGCACGTAAGTGCTTAGAGCACCATCAGGCACACCGTGAGCGCTGAGTACGTGTTAGCTGTTGTTACAGCATGTGACCCTATTTAATTTTTAAAATTTCATCCTCTCTGCATAACCCTCACGTAGGGAGAGCAGACACTTAACTGGGTGAATGAGTGAGCAATGACTTGCCTGGTATCTTTAGAATTATTGATTGGTAACGTAAATGCATTTTGTAAACTAACTTGGTTAGTTTTCAACATAAGGCCGTGTAGGCACCGCACTGATTAAATTACATCCAAGCATGATCCTCCCACCTCATCTCAACCATGGTGCTTTATCTTCTTTCTAATAAACCACTTTCTTTCCTGGAACTCACGAAAAGGATTGTGTTTTACATCATGAAGAAGTACACACAACACACGTAAATGAAGCAGTTAACTTTATGAAACAATAGTTACACTACGTGGAGTGAGCTCTTGTTTTCTGTTTTATTCCCTTGTTTCATTTTTGTAAAAGTGCTGCTTGCAATGCATTGAAATTATTTCACAACCCACTAATGAATTACCCTACAGTTTGAAGAACACTGCATTAAACCTGTTTGACTCTTGTCTAGAACCAAAGTGGGTATACCTTTGATTATAACCAATACTCCCTCCCTTTTCATTCTCTTTCCTAACTTCCCCTGAGAGTGGAGCTGGGATTCACCAGCTTTAAACAAGCCCCCACCCCCACCCCCATATGTTTAAATGCCACCAACCTATTTAGCAAGGGCAAAGTTTGTATTGTCATTTAAAGGGACTTTAAGTATTACTGTATTTCCGATTCACTTTCAGCACATTTGTAATATTAAAAATACATAGAGCTCATATCACTATAAGATAGGATCCAATAATCATTTTCAGGAAGGTGTTTAAGGTTAGGTATGACAAGAGTAACAGATTTTTCAGATTGTGATACCTAACTTCTCTGCCCCACTCCTCCCCAGTTAAATAAGGCATTAAGAACATCACGCAGAAAAGTAACTTTATTGGTAGAACAGAGAGCTCCTGAGAGCTGTTGGCGTCCTGAGCTGTCCGTAGTCTCCAGCGTGTTCCGTCTTCGGCCAGCACCGATGGTTGGTTACTTACTGTTTAGAGCTGCTCGTGCCCTGTGACCATGAAGCTGAACATACGCCACTGCCCCTGCTGAGCCCTGATTCTCTGTTCTCACCAACTGAGCCACCAGCCAGACCAAACAACTGTTGATACTTCTTTGAAAGATTGACAACCAGATTCGGACCAAGGTTACCACACAAGGCCTTACACGTGACCAACTGCACGTTGCCTTTGGTCAGCCTCCCACGCCCCTGCTCCACACAGCAGCCAAGCTGTCCTGGCTCAGGTGCTGTGTCTAATCCAGCACCTTTTCCATCGAACTTGGTGAAAGTCTGAATATTACATTCTCTTCTTCTCCTGCCCATCCCCCTTTAGGTCGTAGCCTTTGTTATTAAATCCATACATCTTTATCATATTTCAAGTAAATCTCTAAGATTTTTTTCTTTCTTCCCTCTGTTTGATTTTGGAGAGCCCCCAGTGGTGCTAGTCATAGCTGATAAGTCAGGAGTAGGGATATAATCATTATCAAGAGGAAAGAGCGTAGTATATTTGGAGGTAGAATAAAGCATAATTGTCAGTGTCATTAACTTTCAGATCTCTTAAGTGTCTTAGTCTGGTTCATCCTCTTCTGATTATACCTTCTGACACACTTGCATAGAGAAATAAACATCATTCTTAGTTTATTTTATTCCTCATATAATTGTTAGTATTGCAGCACAGTTGCAGTATACATCTTATTTCAGATGTGTGTGTGTGTGTGTATATATATATATGTATATTTATATTTATATAGTATTGTATTACAGATACATTATGAGTGAAATAAGTTTCTGTGGAATGACCTCTGGGTACTAACTTTCATTAGCAGCATCAATCCTAAGGGAAAAGTGGCACCAGTTCTAACCCACCGACGTTAAGTACATTTTGGGTATGTAACCAGGTATTACTTAATGTCTTTATTTCTCTTAGCCATGCTTCTGTTCATGGAAAAAGGTTGCCTATCTTAAAATCACCTAAGTACTACTAGAGTAGTAGGAGTAGAGTAACTTCCATAATTATTTTCAATAACAACTTAAAATGGAAATCGTAGGAAAATTTAGAGTATTCTGAAAATAGGAATATGTTTAAGCATGGATTTTGAAATGACAAATCACTTTTATCACTCCTGTGTATGTAAGTGTTTATGACACTCTCTTGTACATAAAAATTTACTACTTTCAAACACTACGTTTATTCTGAGGGACAGTTGAATGAAGAACATTGGGGCCTTTCCCCAGTTCAAGTTGGTGGTCCCAGGTGACTCAGGACAGCCCCTTCACTCTGGCCTCTTTCTCACATGTACACTTGAAATGTGATGGCTTTGGCTGATGAAACACATTATCTTTTTGAAGACTTGGAAACAGCAGTCAGAAAATGTTTAAAAAGAAAAGGCTAGTACACTTTCCTATTAGTAGAATTTGTAAAGTTTTGGGTCTTCATGAAGGCATTTCAATCTTTGTTCTCTCTGCCGACCTGGTATTATACCTTTCAAAATAATGGTTACCAAACAACTCTTCAAATTCATTATTAATCTCAGGGTAATATTTTTCTTTTGCTTGAGTTTTAGTATATAGTCTGAAACTTACTGTACTGTAGGTAGCAAGCTAAAAGCCACTGGTGAAAGTGAAATCATGGCAAGGGGTCTTGTACATCATGAATATGTTCTCATTCATTGAAGATGCAATATCTTGACACAATTTTGTGTTTATAAAATGACCTTGAACTTGCAGATATGCTAAGAGTATTGTTGACAAAGAGATACCGGGAGAGATTATAATCTCTCTGTTTGGGTCCACAGAAGCCAGACACGCACCAGAATTCCTAAGCTTAATGTAGTAAATAAGCAGCATTTGGACTTATGGCTTTTAACAATTTTGACATATGCCCAACTTTGAGACATAAAGGCATCCATAGAATAAAATAATGAAGTATACATTTTTAAAAATCATCGAGGTCTGAGAAAAGATAAAACAGAGCCCTTGGGGTTTGGCATTGTTGCCACGGTAGCCACGCTGAGGGGTGAGATGAGTCAGCAGGCCCAGATCAGCAGGGCTTTGCATCCTCTAGCCCACCACATCAACCGAGGATGCTCTGCTTTCATCTGGTGCCTCTATTGGGCTTTCACCTAAGATTTCATTTGGGGGAGGGCTTCCAGTGCTAACTAACGTACGGTTTGAGAACCGGTGCTCTGACAGATGCAGATTTTACCTATTTGGCAAAATAGTTGGAACGCCAAATACAGTAGACCAACTCACGGTAAAATTAAAGACAGCGAGTCGGCTTCCCTATAGCCCTGTCTGTGTTAGGATGTCAGAGTGTGTAGTCACCCTGAGACGCAGCGGGGGGCACTTGGAAAAGCTTGTTCGTAAGCACACACTGTTTTCTGAGTTGGGCTCCCCTCATCCAGAAAGTTTCCTTAGAAACCTTATGCACGTTGGAGGAACAGGTAAACCCTTTTTATCTAGTGAAACATAATTGTTATACTCGCTGGTGATGTTCAAATCACATTTCTCTATGCGCGTTGTAATGATGGTGCTTCCCCACCGCCACCGCCACCCTGCCGCCCAGCACTTTGGACTGAAGTGAACTGACTGCTTAAAGTGGAGCACAGCTTGATGGAAAAGGACTGTGAGTTTTCTGCAAGTTCACACAGCCTTGTGGTGGATAAAGGAGGAACCGAGAACAAGACATATGGACAGACGATATCATTTTAAGTGCATTTCTGACAATGTTGCTCAGTTTCCTTTTTAAAAATCCTTTTATGTTCAGAGGGTAACGGGGGTGGAGGTGGGCATACAGGGCCAACGTGAAGTCCGACGTAGAGAACGCGTTGCCGGTGGGTCCCCTTGCGAAGCAGGGTCTTTTGTTTTTGTTTCGGTGAGACTTCTGTGGCAAGGAAAACTGTCTGTAACGTTCTTGATGTGGTGCCTGGAAAATCGTGAGCAGTCAGTAAACGTTAGTGTCCTCTCTCCTCATTTTCCTCCTCTTGTTTTCAGCAGCGTGTTTTATTCTGGTAACATCTTTTCATGTAACGTTCACCTTCAACATCAAGTACTGTGTTCTTCAGCTCCCACAGCTTGAGCTTTTGTCTCTCAGGTAGAGAGGTGGTGGGGAGGAGAGGCCAGGTGAACCCAGGCAGGCTCTCCTCTCCCCTGGAGTGAAAGCCTCAGGACTGAGGTGGCTTTAGCGCCCTTATCGCTCCTGATTTCAGCAGGAGTCAAAGACAAAATAACTGAATGAAAGGGAAGATGGCAGCAGCTGTAATCAACTGTTCAGTTCCACTGACAGGAAAAAAAATCATCTTCCAACTTTAAAGGATTTAAAAATAACCTGGAATGCTTCTTAACATGCAGATCCCTGGGCTCCACCCCAGAGTTCTGAGTCAACTTTAGGTCATTCTGATGCACGTGGTCCAAGAGCTGCGTGTTGAAAACCCCTAATTCTAAGATCAGTTCCACCACTGCTCCATTCTTCGCCGATCATCAGTGTAGCATAAAGACTAAATTTCTTTTGAGAATTTTTACCGCTTC